TGTGGTGATGGTGGCAGAGGTGGTGATGATGGTGGCAGTGATGAAAAGGGTAGTGGTCTTGCTAATGCTGCTGTTGCTATTGTTGTTATGGTCGGGGTGGTGGTGAGAGTGGTGGTCTTGTCGCTGTTGTTGTTGCTGTTGTTATCCATGGTGTTGTTATTGTTGCTGTTGTTGTTTTTGTTATTGTTGCTGCTATTGTTGTTGTTATTTTTGCTGTTGTTGTTTTTGTAGTTGTTGTTGTTATTGTTGTTGTTTTTTGTTATTGTTGTTTGTTATTGTTGTTTTTATTGTTGTTATTGTTGTTGTGCATTGTATGTGTGTGTATGTGTGTGTGTGTGTTGTCTTTTCTTTTTTTTTTCCTTTCAAAATATGCAACGCGTGTTCCTTGGGTAGGCGTGACAATGGCTCGCTTGGTATTCTGCTGAATCATGGAGCACGTGGCCTTTGTTCGAATCCTCTCTAGGCCGTTTTTTGACATGGGTATTTTTAATTTTTTAAATTTTTTTTTTTGGGGGGGGAGGTTGTTAGGACTGTCCATCAATTCTGTTTGATTCCAAGGAAACTATGTTTGATTCAAGGGTCCTGCCTATTAAGTAGCCCTCTTTGTTTATGAATGCTTTTTTTTTTTTAAGCTTTAAATAACCCTTTTAAAAAACGATCTGCATCTCACACTAACGAACAAACAAATATAAATAAGTAAACAAACAAAACAAACTAGAATATTTTGCCTTCAGTATTGACATGATTTTTTTTTCTTTCTCCAGCTGCGCTTACTCGTTGACACGGTCAACAATCTTCCTCATCAGAACAATCTCATCCACTCGGTCACAATGAGCCTCCTCTTCCTCAGCCCGTTACTCAACCCCATCATTTACGGCATTTTCAACAAACAGTTTCGCAAGGCCTTCTTCGGCTTATTCCATCTCCGAGTGAAATTCAGTCCAAACTCTAGAACTAGAAGTGGCACCGCGGACCCGCGCGTTCACAACCGGCACTCTTCCACGCGGGGCGGTGCGAATCGAGGCACTTCCAACAGAGGAGAAATGTGCAACCGGAAGTCGTCTGCAAATCAGCTGGCTGCGGAGCAAAGTTTCGCCCGAGGCGGCGGGAGATCGCTTTGTACTGTGACTGTGACAACAACGATCATGGACAATTACTCGGAGTATTCTCCCACCACCGTAAATCCATCATAGCTCAAGGCCAATCTGCCAAAGACAAATGCGATGGTTCGGCCATGCCCAAACTCGAGAATCTCCCTTCTTGCTGTATTGGAAACTCGATGGGAAAAGAAGCAGGGGACGACCAAATACGAACTTGTAACAGACTATTATAGTATAGCCAAAGATCGGATACAAGTACAGAATGGTGTTCTCACCTTGGCTTGCACACAGATCTTCCGAGTAATCCATGATTGCCTCATATGTCTCAAGACATGGGAGTCTGAAAGTCTAAGTAAACAAGGTCAATGGGCGATGGAGAGTAGGTTTTTCTTTCATCAATGAGCAAAGAGAAGCATGTCATTGGGGAAGGTAAGCTATAACCCCGTCACGTGTTCACAGGTCATAACTATCGCAGCGTGTTATTTCCTGTTCTCGTCTGACGTAACTGTGACCCCCACGGTGACCCCGGGTGATGCTGCTCATTGGGCATTGGGTCAAGCAGTTAGAACTTGGAGGTTGAGGGGTGGAATCTTTACTTTTACAACACATTAGCAGGTTAACAGTCATTTTGGTGTGGTGGTTGGCGGGTGCTCTGTGGTGGTTTGCTTCTTCTTTCCTATCAAACGTCTATCGTCCTTATCTCCCCTTCTTTTTTATGTTTGTTATTCTCCTGTAACACCTCTAATCTTCTGGAGCTCATATGACCTTATCCAGTTGCGAGCGCCGTAAAACCTCTACTAAAACTAAACTAAGTCATGTTGGTGCAGAGAAAGAGCAAGACAGGTGAACTGACCCGACAGAGGGAAAAAAAGAAGTAGGACAGGCTTCCAGTGAAGTCCTCCAACCACCACTGGGATCTTTCTGCCCTGGCGACAACAAAAAGAACCAAGCATCCGTCTTATTCCTGGAGTCACGTAGGGATATCTGATGTGCCTTCTCCAACCGAAATCCTGTCTCTGTACAGCTGTCACTTTACCCTATAACTGTCTTGTGTTCATCCAAGTCCAAATGAGTACCAGTCGATCAACAGAGAGGAAATTATTATATTATGGATGATAAACTATGCACTTGACTGGCTGCAACGTTTTATGCCCCCCCCCCCCCCCCCCCTCCATGGGAGTAATTGTGAAGAGGTGGACGAGTGGACAGATTCCGTGTTACAAGACTGTATGAACAAATCACTGTAAATTCTTCAGTTTATGTACAAAAGCCATCATGTGACAGTAATAACATGTGTATCGTTACGTGTGAGTGTAATGCCTCACTACCACACACACACACACACACACACACACACACACACACACACACACACACACACACACACACACACAAACACACACACACAAACACACAACACGCACACAGACAGATATATAGATATATATATATAATATAATTATATATACAAACACACAAACACACAACACGCACACAGATAGATATATAGATATTTATAATATATAATTTTATATAATTATATATATATATATATATATATATGTATGTATACGAGGAGAGTTCAATAAGTTTGGTCTGGGTATGAAGGAACCATGGTAAAGTAATGGAAATTTGCCAGCCTATAAACAGTTTCTTTGGAACACCAGGTAAATTTTCGGGACAATCTTACAATAATAGAGCGCTATAGTCATTGTGTCCAATGTAACCTTGCACAAAAAATGTGTTGTGTTTGGTTCGTTTGTTTGTTTGTTGTTGTTTTGTTGTTGTTGTTTTTTGTTGTTTTTTTTTGTTTTTTTTTGGGGGGGGGGTCTTTTGCTGAAGCTGTGCCATGGAGCCTGTTGAATATCGCTCAGTTATCAAGTTTTTACACTTGCAACGAAAATCCCCTTTAGTTATTTTTCAGGAAATGGTTCAAGTTTATGGTGACAAATGTCCTCTTTTTTATACTGTGACATACTGGGAAAATTCAAATCTGGATTCATGTTGGCGATGGATGAAGATCGTGAAGGGCACTCATGCTTTGTGGTAATTGAAGAGAATGTATCCATAGTGAAAAAACTGGTTTTACAAGACCAACGTATAACAGTTAAACAGCAATCAAGTGAAATGAGAATTTGTGTAGGGTCAATTGAAACGATTCCCCACGATCGTGTCAACATGAATAAGGTGTTTATGCGGTGGGTACCCCGCCTTTTGACAAGTGAGCAAAAGAAACAGAGGGTTGAGTCCTGGAGAACTCTCATTCGAATGAATCCAATGACACAAATTTCTTTAAAACATGGTGACTGTGGATGAAACATGGATTTATCATTTCGATCCAGAATACAAAATGTCCTCCATGCAACGGAAAATCCCTTCTTCTCCCTCACCAAAGAAGGCAAAGCTAACACCGTCAAGTGGAAAGGTCATGCTATCGTGTTTCTGGAATTGTAAAGGTATCATCATGACTGAATACCTGGAAAATAGAAAAACAGTCACGGGAGACTACTATTCGGGTTTGCTGATGAAATTGCTGTCTGATTTTGTGAGAAAAAGGCGTAGAAAACTCCGTAAGGGGATCCTCCTCCTGCATGACAACGCCCTTGCGCACAGGGCACAACAAGCAGTCCTGACAGCAGAACGGTGCAGCTTTGAAATCCTGCCACACCCAGCATATTCACCAGACCTAGCCCGGCACTCACAACTGCATAAGATCATTTGAGTGCGCGGGACACACCTAATATTTTCAGTTGGTAGGAAATTTTGAATTTTGCCCGGGTGGCGGCCGAAGCCTACTCTTATCGATTTTAGACCACCAAGGGATCTTTAACGTGCGCAACTTGCACACGGGCCCCTCCAAGATTTTTCGCCCTTGTCCGAGAAGGCAAGCTGCAGATCTTTCCTACCAGAAGATCAAGGGTGTGGCAGAAAGACAGCAGTAAGGAGGAGCCAAGGAGTAGCAGTAGAAAGGCTGCAGAAAGAGTCAGGAGCCCAGAGGAGGGGGCAAAGGAGGTGAGGGGGTAGGGGCAGAAAGTGGAAATGAAAGCTGACAACAGAACATTGCTAGAGAGCAGGAAAGGACGTGAAAGGAGACAATTTTAGAGAAGAAAATTGTTCGGTCGCTACCCGGATTCGAACCCGGGACCTTTGAATGAGAGACCAACACCTTAACCTCTAGGCCACGAGAGCCCCCGTGTTACTCTGAATGAGGACTATTAAATAGAGAAATGAAAGTATGTGTGCCAAGTTCCAAAGTTCTATCTTCATTCCTTCATTCTTAGACCAAAGACTTCTTGAACCCTCCTCGTATATATGTACCCAACGACAATAGAAACTTTTCACTTTGTTGGGGTTTTTTTTCGTTTTTGTTGTTGTTTTTTGTAACTGCGCCCTTGTTCATGTTAGTTAGTGAGCGCAATTTTGCACACCACTCTCCATGTACCCAATGATGACACCGCGCTGATCTTTTTCTTGAACAAAAATGTAATCACGTGGCCACGTGACGCACATGCAAATTAACATGTTCCGTCGAAATTACGAAATTGTCTGAATTGTGTTTAGATCAACACAATAACGATTTTAGAACCGAAAAAAAAGTTACAACTTACATACACGTTCCAGCTGGGGGGGGGGGGGTTATATTTAACTTGCGGAACAAGACGCCAAGATTAAGCCCCGAGGAGCGCTGTTGGGCAATCTGAATACCCCAAGCTGTACTATCGGTCCGTAGTGTGGCGCGGATGCCACATTGCTCCCGTCCTACCATTAGCATCCAGAAAGATAGGTCTCAGATCACTGGAGTTATACCTGACAGACTCAGCCTAGGTAGACCACTGGTCGCTACTGCCCAAGAGGAGAGACAGTTACTGTTCCGGCATCTTCGTGATCGCTTTCTCGCAACGACCAGCTCTGCACGTTAATTTTATACAGACGCTGGAAGACTCATCAGCGAAATAAGGATACAATGGTGTTACAACACGTTCGGACATCGAGCAAAGGCGGCCTTGTAATGACCTAAGTGTGCCATCTTTCCAAGAATTACGCTTGAACTGTCTGGGCAAATCGTCACATTCGTCTTGGATGGAGTTCTCTTCTCGGAGAGTTAGTACATGTTCATGTAGACATAAAGGAGAGAGACAGATAGACTAGCAGACTGCTGCATACATGAAATACACAGATAGGGCGGCGGCAATGTGATGGTATGGGGTTGAATATCTCCCAACCACAGAACCTAGCCGCACATTTTTAACCCTACGGTCTACGCCAACGAGTACCGGAATGTTCTCCTGGCGTACTTGGTTCCCTTCTTTCTAACCCATAGACGTATGCACACATTCCAGCAAGACAATGTGCGCTCACACCTTGCCTGTGTAAAGGTGCAATGTCTACAGCAGCAAAATGTGAATGTTTTGCCATTGCCTCAGCCTACTCCCCACACATGTCACTCTGTGGGCCTAAAGAGTGAACTCCCAAAACAACATTAACATTGTACAGCGACTTGGGACAAGCATTGATTCGAGAGTCGAGGACAATTAATTTAAAAAAAGAAAACAAAACTGACAGTAGTGACAGACTCTTGGATGGATCCTGAAGACGGGGAAGGGGGGGGGGGGGGGGGGGGGTGGAGCAGTGACGGACATGTTCCGACTGTAGTGACTCCAACACTGAGGACAAGGTGTGACAAGGAAAAAAAAACTGACTCAATCAATGCGTAGAACATGCGAGGCTTGCGTCATTGCGACATTACCCGCTACTGACATGGAATTTTGAAATCAAGGGATACCAGTTTGTGCTTAACACTGTGCCATCATAACAATATGAGACATAATCAAGAAACAAATGTGATACATGTAGTAGGAATATACTTTTTGTCTTCTTGACATATTAAAAGTTTGTCTGTGTCATTTTTTTTCTTCAGTGTTGAATAGTAAACACATTACAGGCTTCTCTCCAAGTGGAAAGTTTCGATTGCCGCTGTGATGTGTGTGTGTGTGTGTGTGTGTGTGTGTGTGTGTGTGTGTGTGTGTGTGTGTGTGTGTGTGTGTGTGTGTGTGTGTATTATTAAGGTTGTGTCCTTGAGAAAGGCACTTTAC